AATGAATCTGGGGGAATTTTTGACAAGATATAGTGAAAGTTCTTCTGTCCATAAATAGGAGGCAGGCGCACCCTCACACAGCCTTCCACACTCACATTTCCAGACCCCTGCACACTCCACATTTCAACTCCCAGCCAATCTCAGCCTCACGCAGCCTCCTGCAGAAGCTCAGAAACTCACTCACACGCACACTCTCGCTGTCAGTCAGCCTTTGTTCACCCTCCATGGCATCCCATGCAGCCGCACTACTGGCCATCAGCCTGCTGGTCCTGTGGGCCTCCCCAGGTAAGGCTGAGGGGAGGCTGGGGGTGGGAGGGGAGGGGAGAGGGGATGTCTAGCCCTCAGATGGCTTGGTGCTGGGCATGCCGGACACTGCGAATTAGGTCTGCCTGGTTCAGCGAAGCTGGATGCCCTGTGTGTATGCCTGTGAGTGTGCGTATATCTGGGCTCCTGAATTCCAACGTGTGTCTGTCTCTTGATGTATCTGAGGGCCTCTGGCTGCCCCTGTCTCTGCAGGCTCTACTTCCTGCTGCCTCAGTATCCCAGGCAGAAGGAGAGAAATATATATATATTTGCTTAAGGTGGGGAGAATGAGAGACATTGAGGCAGAACTAATAGTCAAAATATTTAACAATTCGTAAGTCCAGCCTTTTACCCACAACCACCCTTTCCCCATCAATTCAATGCTTTGACCAACATTAGCTCTTCATTTGTGGGAAAGTCAAGAAGCCCTGAGAGAGAAATTGGGGTGATGGGGCAGCGGGAAGGCATTTGTGGGGCTCCACACAGTAGTTGTTTACCAAACAGCTTAGAAGTATTTCAATATATTTAGCAACCAAGAGGGTTGCTAAATACATACACAGCCTCCCTCCTCAGGGTCCCTATGTTCTAACACCACCTTCTTTGGCCTACGGCCACCCAGCTCAGGGTGGTGCCAACGATGCAGAAGACTGCTGCCTGTCTGTGGCCCTGCACCCTATTCCTGGGAATATCGTGCGAGCCTTTCGACACCTCCACATCCAGGATGGCTGCAGAGTGCCCGCCGTTGTGTGAGTTGTGGAGAGGGGCGCCTCATGCCTCACCTCCCACTCTACCCCCACCTCCTTCTCTCTCTTCTTCTTGCCGAGCGCAACCCCTTCGAGGGAGCCCCTGAAACAGTTTTGGGATGTGGTCCTCAGCCTCTGCCCCTCACACCTGGGCCTGCCAGGAAGCTGGGTTCCAGGGCTCCATTCTCTCTGACCTCTGACCTCTGACTGCAGGTTCACCACAAAGAGAGGTCGCAAGCTTTGCGCACCGCCAGACCAGCCCTGGGTGGACCGCATCATCCGGAGACTAGAGAAGAAAGCTGCCAAGGCAAGCCCGCCCTCCCGCCCGGCCTCCTCCCTCTGAGCCCCTGCCCAAGGCCCCAGCCCAACACCTTCCCTCTCCTTCCTCCCCCAGAACAAGCGCCACAGCAGTTAGCCCCTGGCAGCCGCCAAGGGAGCCCTGTGTCTGAGTGAAGGGCTGTGAATACTGCCACCCTGGGGACCCAAGGACCAGAAGAGAGTACCAGACCATCAGCTCCTCTGCACCAGACCTGACAACGCCGGGCAGGGCCTGGAGTGTCTGTGAGTGTGAGTGTGAGTGTGAGGGTATGAGTGTGAGAGGGTGAGTGGCAGGAGCACAGTTTCTCCACACCCAGACTACAATGCTTCCAATAAAGCCCACTGGTACCCACAGATCCGTCTGTGTGCTGTTTGTCCATGATGACCAGGGTAGAAAGGGGGAGATGGAATGGCAGGATCTATTTTCTTTGCTTTTTTTTTTTTTAATAAATAATTCTTTATTGTTGAAAGTACTATATATGTCCCTTTCTTAATCATCCATGCTTGGCAGGATCTACTTTTCGCTCTGTAATCTGAGCAACCTTCTCATCAACCTCCACCTAATTCCCTGTATTCTCAGGATAAGCTGCCACAACCAGGGCTCCACTGCCTGTCTCCTCAAAAGCCTGTCACACTCCATGGTTCAGTGACACTAAACCTGTGTCAGTTCCCTGAACAAGCCAAACTCTCTCACACCTCCCAGCCTCAGCTCCCCAGAGCTGTTCCAGCACACAGGTGTCTCATGGATCAGGTGTCACTGGGGGAAAAGGAGTTGTCAGGAACTTGCTCCCATGGCTAGAGGAGAGACTGGGGCCCAGCTCTCCTGCCTGGGGGAAGTACCCATCTCCCATGCCATTCCCTCTGTTTGGAACGCTCTTCTCTCTCCTGCTCAGAGAACTTCCCATCTGGGTCTGGATGACTCCTCCTCCGGGAAGCATTTCTGATCCTGGGCTGGGGTTAGATAGCCTCCCTCTCTCCCAAGCTCCCAGGGACCCCTATCCCTCTCTCCTTATAGCACCTATCACACTGAGTTATAATGACTAGTTTGTCAGCCTTCCTGGACAGGGATTTTGTCTATTTGGTTCCCACTGTCTCCCTGGTGCTCAGCACGCTGCCTGGCACAAAGTAGTTATTCAAATATTTTTCTAGAAAATGAATAAATATGTGGAAAAGGCTTGACAGTCAGGTGTGAGGGCTCCTCTGTCCATATAGACTCTAACCTCCAGGCCAGCTCTCCTCTCTCATCCAGACAGCCTGGGCCAGGGCCAGCGCCATCTGGGGTCATACTTCTCAGGGTACTGACAGACAAAACTGGGAGCCGGGAGTGAGAGATGGGAGAGAAGGAGGAGCAGCCAGGGAAGCCAGAGCAGTTCTGCCTGAAGGAAGCTCACCAACCCCTGAAGCCCATATGGGCTCCAGGGCTGAGGCAACAATGAGACCAGGGGGTCCACAGGGGAGGAATCTCAGCTCTGGGAGACGAAATTCCTAGAACTCTCAGAGCACCCTAGGGCAGCTCTAGGGGGGTAAACCTCCTGTGTGTGGGAAATCCTTTGGGGCAGCTGGCTGGCCCCCAACCATGGCCTCTGAGGTCCAGCTGGGAGCAGTAACTCTGTGCCGCTGGGGTCGAATGGCAGCTGGAACGCCAGACTACGCATCCTCACCTGGCAAGAGTGGCCAACATGTTACCAGATATAACTCATCTGGTAACAAAGCCAGGCCTGCACAGGCCTGGGCAGCCTGGGAAGGGGAGAAACAGTGAGAGGGCTGTGCCAGCCTCTGCTGCGCCAGCACGGCCAAGGGTGAACCTGAGGAGGGTCGTTGAAGGATTGAAGAAAAGACAGACACGAGAATACAGCGGGGACACGGTGGATCTCCCGAGGCTGGATGAGGACACAAAAGACCCAGCCTGCAAGTCGATGTTTTATTTTATGGTCTGATTAAAACAAGGGTAGATTAACATGTATACAAATGTTCATGTTTTGGCAACACTTGCTGCACCTCCCACAGCCCATTAGCTACTTAGGAAGGAATTAGGGAGGGCTACAAGGTCAGGCTTAATTATGCTGGGAGAGCTCTGCCCTCCAGGCTGGGACTTGTGTGTGGCCCTGCCACAGGTCAGCCTAAGGCTTGACCCTAGAGCCCCTCTCTACACCAGCCCCCCTCGCTGAGCTGAGAGCATGACAGCTCCACCCCACCCCCCTTGCTCCCAGAAGCAGGTGTTTAAAACCTCGGATTTCTCAGGTCTTAAAGTTACAAGGAGTGGAATGGATGGGGATTTTTCAAGAACACTGTTATGGCTGGAAAGTTTGGCTCTGCTGCCTGGGGGAAATTACCCATCCGTTCATGCATCCATGCATCCATCCACCTAATGTCCCTGCATCCATTAGACCTCCATCCATCCTCCCCCCGATCCACACATCCATCCATTAAACCATCCATCAAGTCAGCCAGCCATGGAGTTCAAAGGTCCCAGCTGTGAACAGCATTTGGATTCTATGCCCTGCACCCCAGCGGGCAGAGGACAAACATAGATGTGAGGGGGGCACATTGCCTCAACTCCTTCTCAGTTCTCAGTGAAGCCACGCAGAGGCCAGCTTACCACAAAGGCAGACACAGACTGTCCCTCCGGACCCTCAGGAGAACACGCAGATAGAATAGGGGAGGGGAGGGAGGGAGCCCTGAGGAAGATGCCACCAGGACAGAAGTCCCTGGACATTACTTCCCTGCCACTGCCACTGGTTGTTACAGGAATAGGCCTTGAGCTCCATGCTCAGCCATCAATCCCACAATCCTTTTTCTGCCCCTCACTGTTCAATTCTAGGCAAGATTTTTCCTTACTCACGCCCCCTCAAAGCCTAAGTTCCCCCATCTGTCAGGTGTGTGTGGTGGTGGGGGACGGGGGGGTGGCTTAATATTTTAGTCCCTCCAAAGACTTGACTCATGAATCTCTGGGTCCCCTGTGGTTCCCATGGGCTTCCTCAAAGTCACACATATTCATAAATGTTGCCACCTCCTGGAGCCACAGGGAATCCCTCTGAGACTCAGGAAGGGAGATAATCCAGGAACTAGCAAGCGAATGAAGAGCTTAGAGGAAACCTGGGGGCAGACACCAAAGTCCCACAGAGAGTAGGCATGCAGCCCTCCCCACCTTTTCTCCACCCACTGCCTTTTCTCCTGGCTTGCTCCCTTCCTTTTTTTCTCATGCCCAGCCACCAATCCTTCCGGGGCACTGGGTTTGTCTTCTTATCTCCCACCAGAAACGTGAGAGCTTAGCCCAGCAATTTGGAACTTGTCTGGACTCACTCAAACATTCTCAGTTCTGTGACTTCATCTGATCAACACCTGCTCTGTTTCACCATAATTCACTGATAAGTGTGGCGTCTCCCCCACCCCCCTTTTGTTTTTATTGTTTTGTGGATTTGTTTTTGTTTTGTTTTGTTTTTAGAGGAAGAGGATAAGGGAGAGGGAGAAAAAGAGAAACATTGATAAGAGAGGAACATTAATGAGAGAGAAACTGATCAGCTGCCTCCTTCAGGCAACCAAGCATGTGTCCCAACCAGAATCAAACCTGCGGCCTTTCAGGACATGGGATGATGCTCAACCAACTGGGCCACACTGGCCAGGGCTGTGGCATCTATATGTCCTGAGTTCTGGGGGGCCAGAAGCCAACCTGCCTCCCTGACAATGATGAAGCTGCTGGCCAGCTAAGGGGTGGTGTGGACTCCTAGCTCCCCAGCCAGGATACGGGGACCTTGCCACCTGCCTAAAGGTAGACACCTTCCTCTCTAGAGCCGTGGGTCGCCAACCAGTGGTCCACAGACCACTGGTGGTCCGTGAGGTCCAAAAGGTTGGCGACTGCGGGTTTAAGAAAACCTTTCACATGGCACCTGCTACAGGTTTAAGGCCAGCAGCCGAGTGATACTTCTCTACCCAACAGCCAGCATCGTCCTAAAGGGACCTGACAACCCTGCTCAGGGAGCTGCCAGCTTCATAGGTGGACAAAAAACTCCCTGTCCTGTCTTTTTTTTTTAATTTATTGCTGACAGTCCCTGTTCTGTCTATTGATAGAGTTCCCAGTGGAAGGGATTGGGCCTGGGCATCTCCGTTTCCAGCATTGCTCTGCACAGGGGCTGGCACAGAACAAGCCCCAGTACATATCTGAGTAACAAAAAAGGAAATTGAGCGTCGCTCTTTCCCACGATGCCCCTCCCACTCACACCTGGAGCACATCCAGTTCTCAGAACAGTGGTGCTGTGGGTGTTTGGTCAGGGCCAGCGCCATGCAGTTTTGATCATATTTTCATCATCTCATGTCAACTTCTTGGTAAACCCCCACCCTTGTGCCCCCCTTCTCTGGCCTCCGGGAAACTCAGAAACAGCTAGAAAACCTTGGAATTAGTCTCACAAAGGGGCAGGACTCCCAAGTAGGGAGTTTCCTTCAAGAGCCCCTCTGTACAATTAAGCAGGCACCTCTCTGATTAGAGAACTGCCTCGCTGGCCCCTAAGACTTCGCGCCCGTGGAAGGAGATGGCTCTGTGGTACCAGTTAATTCACCACTAAGTGCTTAACAGGCGCCGGGCACTGCTGTCTGTGCTCCCTGACATTCGCAGGTAACTACCTAAGCTGGACCGCTGATAAAGTGGCAGAGCTGAGGGTCCTCGCTGGGTAGTTTGGCTTCAGGATCTGTACTACATATACTGCCTCTCTTAGTTCTCCCGTCTCCTAAGTAAAAAAGGGGAGCAATACAGCAGGCCCAGGTCTGAGGAAGCGGCCCTCAGGAAAGAGGAAAAGCCATTATTTTGAGGTCCTGACCATGTGTCTGCCTCCAAGCTGAGCCCTTTATGTGTATGCCATATTGCATCCTTAAGCAACCCTATCAGGTGGGGATCACTGGTCCCATGCTATGTCTGAGGAAGCTGAGGCGTGGAGAGGTAGAGAGGCAAAGCTGAGATTGCAGCCCAAGTTGGCCTGATGGGTAGCACTTGGGAAGAGGGCTGGGGGCTGGGATGTCCAGTTGGGGTGGAAAGGCTTGACCTGCTAGGAAGAGTTGGGGGAAAACAAGGAGAGAAGCTGAGGGCCTCAGGCAGGATCCCAGTGCTTGAGCCAGACACAGAGATGCCCCCTGGAGGGCCTCAGCCTCCTGGGCCTCTCAGCAGAAGTGGAACTGGTTTCCCCAGAGTCTCCAGGAGGAAGTAGGCACAGTTTCTCGAGGCCTGCCCCGGCCTCAGTTTCCCCAAGTGGAACAGTGGAGAAGGGATCAGTCTTCAACTATGCCCACCTTCTTACCTCCATTCTCAGGGAGTAACAGAGGCCAGGTGATGTTGCAATAAAAATGGGAATGAAGGGACAGGGCAG